CCCCAAAACCCCAAAACCCCAAAACCCCAAAACCCCAAAACCCCAAAACCCCAAAACCCCAAGTTATATAATAATAATTGAATAATTATAAAAATATGCTCGTCTTTGGTATTTTGGTGGGCATCCTAGCAACTTTCATCCAAACTATTGGTCAGATAGTACAGAAGAAAGGGCACATGGATGCATTGAGGAAGAGACAGTCCTTCATTTGAAATCTAACCTGGGTATGAGGTCAATCCCTTAATCTGCTGGCAGTCCCTGTATTTATAGTTTCAATATCGAATACATCGCAAACAGCTCAGAGTATTCTTCCGGCAATGTCGATCATTCTAATAACAATATGGTCTTGAATTTTGTTGGGATCTGAGTTCACTAAATGGGAAGCTATGTCTATGGCTTTCCTTATTCCTGCTACAATGATTCTGTTTATATTCTCAAGTGTTCCCAAACAAGATATAAAATCAGAGGATTTAAAAGATTATGTATATTCTCCAGGATCAGTTGCACTTCTGATCTCAGCATTCTTAATAAATGCTGGAGGAGGCCTTGTCGTCTATCAAATAATGACAAATTTTGAGAAAATCAAGCAAAGAGCAATCCAGCTTAGAGATGGAGCACATACTGATGCTGCCTCTACAAGAGAGAGTGATATGAATACCATGAGGACTCAACAGATCAGAGGTTCTACTATGAGCCATACAGAGAATACAAGTGATAATGCAAGGACCATTTCCAATAACAGTCATTCGCCTACTCTGCTCAGTAATGCTTCTGAGATCCACGAAATTGATATCCTTTCCTACAAATGGGCTGCTATTCCGTTAATCTATTTCTCCTTCTTTGCTTCCTTCTTCGGTACGCTTTCAAACACGATGCTTCGAGGACTTGTCATTATCTTCGATGATGACTTTATCGATCATGATAAAGATGAGAAGACTTTTGGAGTTGCCCAAATATTGATCTTTTTTATGATAAACATAGTGCTGATGTTTATCTCACTGTTTTATCTTAACAAATGACTGCAGCATTTTGACCCAATCTATATGATTCCACTCATCAGGGTGTTCACCCTGATGAACACAATCATTTGTGGAGGAATTGTGTATAAAGAGTTCAAACTTTATGATACCACCAAAACAGTAGGAATGCTTGTTGGTACTTCTCTCTGATTCGTTGGGGCTTCCTTCTACATACAACGAAGAGAACGGGTTTACGCTTGTAAAGAGCCTGTAGGAGATGACGGAGTAATTTCCACCGCTAGCTATGGAACTATTGATAATAATCACAGAAGCAAAGATCATCCTGATAATGAGAAAAGATCATGTAAAACTTGATAATTCAAATCTGCTAAGGTGCTCAATATTCTCAATATGTTTGTCTAGTCTGGGGTTTTGGGGTTTTGGGGTTTTGGGGTTTTGGGGTTTTGGGG